TCTGCGTAATTGTATTTCTTGTCCATTTATATTTATTACTTGAGTATTTGCCAAAAGAGATTCGAGAATTTCTTTACTGGTTAGAAATATACAGAATCTGTTGTTAGAGATACGTGAGACGAAAAGTATGTTTTTGGGTTGGACGATTTGGCCAATAGCTAGAATGTAATCTTTTTGTGGAACTCCGTCAATTGAATTAAAGACTATAGCTTGTTCTCTGTTAGGTGTAGACTCCTTTGCAGTAATGCTAGCGAAATTGATGGTTTTATCTAAATTGTTTGTATTGTTGTTAGATATCTGGTGAGTGTCATTAGTGTTATCGGATTTGTTTACGGCTGTGGCCGAGGTGACTGGGTATGATGGGAGGTGAGGGACGGTGTTCTTTGCGATAGCGGTCGGCGACGCTAATGAGTTGTGTGTATTCTATAGAATATTTTTGGATGAAGATGATGTAACCACTTTGGAGTTTTTAGACGGTATATTTGTGTTGGTTTTTTTGATTGTGGGTAAGATTTTGTTCTGTTGAGGATTGGTTTGGTGGGCATTTTGCCCGGAGAGTTTTTATACATTTCAAGATTACCGAAAAAAGTAGTATATATAATTATATGATAATCATATTACCTGTTATCGATGCAATGAAAGAAAACTATGGTTTTGCTATCGAAGCTATAAAAGCGCAATCACAATAGAATAACACACGTGTTGCTCTGTCGAATGAGGAACACGAACTGTCTATATTTTTTAAACTCTATTTTGAGCTTCCTGGGCTTCTTCTGATAATTGTTCTATATATGAGTAACATATATAGAATAACATAGGCATTATTCATTAATTGTTCAGACAAAATAGAATTTAAATATAATATAACAATTACCTATTGGGGCAGTATCGAAGTGCAAATAACATCAGCTCCATGTATTAAAACCTTATGTACGGTGAGTAGCATATAAAACCATGGATAAAGCGAAACAAATAATTTGCTGTATCAATAGCATATTTTTCAAACTCCTGGTCTTTAATTTCATAGCCACTGGCCATAGCAGTCAAAATAGTGCCAAATTTATTGACGTAAATACGAGTATGACATCCAAATGTGTGCGCCGTACGACGGGTTAAAAATATTTACTCAAAACAAAATCAAAAAAGTTTTGAATTAAATTAAACCTAATTGAAAATAAAACAATAATAATTATAATAATAAAAAAATTACATTATGCTAAGAATTTGAGTATAGAATATCTTGAACATAATTCTTAAATCTATAGTGAGACATTTCAAAAAATTTATACAAATAGAATTTGAAAAAGATAAAGGTCTTTTCGATTTTCATTTTTGAAAACATGAAATACATTATTAAAAGACTAATTTTGTGACCCAAATTTTAAACGAGATTTAAATATTTATACATTTTTTTTTTTCAAGATACATACAATTTTATTTTATTTATTCAACAAAAATGCATAACAATTATGATTATTATTAAGCAACTACAGTGGTTTCAAATAATATATTAATACAAAACATTTAAAGTACGCATTCCCTGTTTATGATTGATTTATTTCTATATTCAACTATTATATTTTAATTTTTGAACAGCATTTCTTTACGTTTTTTATTAAAATATGAAGATTTAACGCATATTATTGTAAATATATACCTATTATTAATAATTTTATTATTTCCAAGTTCTTTGTGTTATTTATTATCAAATCTAAATTATCAGAAGATTTGTGTAATTCGTGCAATTGTGGTACAGTATAATTTAATAATGCTATTGGTAATAATTAGGAATTTTCAATTTTTTTTTATTTTCATACTTATATGTCCATAATGTTAATTAATGGAAAATTTTAATAAAAAAACGTGTTGATTCATTTTTCGGTTGTTTTTATAGCTTTTAACACCGTCGTTGGTGTGTATAGTATAAATGTGTCCGGAATTGTAAGTATTCTTGCCCCTCGTATAGTATGATGTGTAGTCTCGTGAGAACATGCTTTTTTTTTTTTTTTATTATTTTATTTTCAAAAACAATCTGTACAAACAAGCACATTTAGTAATTTAGATATAGAATATATACATATTTTTTTTTTTAAAAAAAAAACAACAATTTTTAAGAAAGTCACCCATTGGTAACACCTATGAACTTATAGTTGGATTTGGATCACTTAAGGAGATCACGATTCCAATTACGTTTGAGCCTGCGAGGGGGGGTTACCTGGGATATGCAGTGAAGCCATATCTTTAATGAGAGAATTAGTACTGGAGTTGAGTTTAGATTGGAAACGGTGGTAGTGAATTTTGGCGTAGTCAGTGACATTAGTTACTTTGAGGTCGTTGTGTAGTGAAAGGTTTGTCATGTACCATGGAGCACCAGTTATAGTACGTAGGGCAATGTTTTGGAAAGATTGGATGGGGCGAATGTTTGAGGGTTTCGCCATCCCCCATATTTGAATATCATACGACCAGACAGGTCTGATCATTGTATTATACAATAACATTTTGGTTTTTAGATTAAGTTTAGATTTAAGAAGAGGTCGGAAGAGATGGAGTCTACTGTTGGCAGGTTTCCTTTTGTTTTGGAGATGGGGTTTCCAAGTTAAACGTTTATCTAAAACTATACCTAGATACTTTGTCTCGTTCGAGATAGGTATACTTTTATCTTTAAGTTTGATGGTAGGGCAAATGCCAGGGTGTAGAGCGAAAGTGACTTGGGAAGATTTGCTCTCGTTTATACTAATCATCCAGTTATTGGCCCAGTTATCTATAAGATTTAAATGTTCTTGAAGGTGTTGTGCAGCTATAGTTATGTCACTATTACCTGAGAGGATAGTAGTATCGTCGGCAAATGAAGCAAGTAGAGTGTTGACGGTTTTAGGGATGTCCATTGTAACGATGTTGTATAAGTCCGGTGAGAGGTCGCTACCTTAAGGGACACCTGCTTCGATGTTAAACAGTGGAGAGAAAGCATTGCCGTGTCTAACCTTGAATTTTCTGTGTTCTAAATATGATTTTAGGATAAGGTATAGTAGAGCTGGCATAAATTGTTTTAGTTTGAACAGAAGTCCATTATGCCATACTTTATCAAACGCCTGTGCGACGTCGAGATAAAGACCTGTACAGTATTTTTTATTTTCGAGCGCAGAGGCAATCGTGTCAGTTAGACGGTGTACTTGATGCAGAGTCGAATGTTTTGATCGAAAACCAAATTGAGTATTAGGTAAAATACTATGCTCGGATAAGATGGGTCTGATTCTCTTGAGGAGACATTTTTCAAAGAGTTTGACTAAGGTGGGCAACAAGCTAATGGGTCTATACGAGGTAACCATGTTTTTGGGTTTACCGACTTTCGGAATGAGAATTACGACATCACTTTTCCAGATGGCAGGAAAGTATTATAGACGCAGCATGGAATTATAAATAAATGTTAATAAAAATATCCCTTTCTTGGAGAGATTTTTTAAAACTTTGTTGATGATAAGATCATAACCTGGAGCTTTACCGAACAGAAGTTTTTTAATGATACTACTGATTTCACCTGGAGATATAGGTTTGGTAAGAAGAGACATGGGTAGAGGGGACGAGAGGAAATTGTTGACTATATCTGTATGACTAGGATCAGGTCTTGGATATTGATGGTTTTTGAATGTGGATTCTAAGTGCTCACCGAACAAGATAGACTTTTCAATGTCTGTTACTGCTAAGGTATTATTTTCTTTTAGGAGAGGTGGAGATAGCTCTTTGATTTTGGTTAATCTTTTTGTGGCCTTCCATAGAGAGTTGTCAGTGGTCTTTAAAGATTGAAGATAAGTGGTGTAGTTTTCGTATTTATATTTCGAGAGAAGTTTTTTCAGTTTATTGGAAATTAGATTATAACTGGTTTTGTCACTGAGAAGGTAGGTGCGTTGCCAGACAGACCTAGCATATTTTGAGATCGATATTGTCGTCCAAATAGGTTTTGAACGTTTCCCAAACAATCGGCCCATGTGTGAGAGAGGGTCTGGTAGATAAAGAAGGGGTTCCACCTACTGAAAGAATAACGGGGGAATGGTCACTGGCTATATCGCAAATATTTTCAATATTTTTACTCAGTGAATTAGAGGTGTTTGTGACGAAGAAATCGAGTATATCCGGATTTCTGTTTAAATGGGTGGGCCAATAGTGTAAGACCTGTTGGTGAGACGGAGGAGTAGTGATAGTTAGAAATGACTGAGTGAAGAATTTTCCCCCTGTGATTGTTGGAAAAACAGCCCCACATAGGATGTTTAGCATTAAAATCTCCTCCCGCAATAAAAGAATTACCTAGAGAGTTAAAAATTAACGTAGTCTTCTTGACGGATGGAATTACAAGGAGGGTTGTAAACCGAGGATATTTTAAAGGTGCATTATTAATTTTAATAGAAATATTTGTTGCTTGGATTGATGTTTTTTGGTAAGGAACTAGAACATTGTGTTGGATTGAATTGGATACAAGTATACAGGATCCAGCATGAGCTGTGCTATCGGGATGATCGGATCTATACAATGAATAATTATGGATTTTGAAGATGGATTTAGCATAAAATGGATTTCGGTTAGTAAGGCAATGTCGATTTTGTGGTCGTATAAAACAGTTTCTAGTTCATTTTTGTGTTGTTGGAGGCCGTTTGAGAGAAGAGTTATTGTTTGAGTTATTGTTAGTCATTTTTGAGAAATATTTTGTTTACAACAGTAGTGAGGAGAGAAATAAGGGGGTTAATTAAAGATTTTAAATCTAATATAAATAATGCTAGTTGCTGGGAAAGGGCATCAGAGGTGGTATTATTGACATGAGCATCATTGACCTGGGAATGGTTGGAGGGGGTGGTTTGGCTAGTAATCGTAGCATAAGAGGGATTATGTGTTGGGTTGAGGGGAATTTGGTTGGGAGTGATACCAATGGGTGCTTATACATTAGCGTTAGCATTTAATACATTTGAATTTGGATTAGAAAATGTTTTGGTGGTGTTTTT